CGTGGAAATGGCAGAGGAAGCCGGGGAAGAGAACCTGTTCATCTTTGGCATGAGGGTAGATGATGTGGCTGCTTTGGACAAGAAAGGGTGAGAGAATAGCTTCTCTTTGCTGGTCACCTCCCCCGGCCCAAGAAGGTATGTGACCTCAGAGGGCTTCCTGCCCACACAGGTATCCCATTGAGGTTGGATCACATATGAGGTGGCAGCAGAACATCTCCCACGATGAGGCAGGAGAGCCTCCTGGCCACAGATTCATATTATTAAACCCAGCAAGTAAAAGGACAGACACACGGAGGAGTTGCTATTTGTTATTGGCCATTGCAGAGCTGGCCTCAAAGAGCTATTCTTTCCTCCATATGTATGATTTTCACTTTGATCAAAAGATGAACTAGTTTCTAGTTGAAAGGGTGACCTATAATTTAAATCACGATCTAGTGCTCCTTTAAGATATCAAAGAAATGGACTAAAATGTGATAGAGAATGGATATGGGTGTACGGAAGTACTTGGAAACATTTATTTTCATTTAATATCTGGATGGGTTTATTAACCTGAGTTCAAGCACAAAATAAAGAGTACTGCCCAAAGAATCAACATTTGGAGGATGTTGAATATAATTCCTGACCCTTGGAAGTCAGTTTCACTCAGTAGCAATAACTTTTGAGAATCTGTGGATCCGAAAAGCAACTGATCCACTTAATACAATGTTCATTTAGAGCCATAAAGTCTGCTTTGAAATGGACCTTGCTGTATTCTACCACATTAGACTCTTGCTCTTTGACTAGAGTTTTCATTATCTATTGTTCTTAGTGTCTTTGGTTATAAGGAATCAAATTTACAAAGAGAAAAACTTACAGATCTAGTTAAAAGTTATATATACTCATGGTGAAATCTATAATGACTTATTTGAATGCTAGTATTTCTGAATGCATTTTTTCACAGTGAACGCAGTGTCTAGTGTGTTGTTAATCATACACAATAACAGAGCCTTTTTCTTATCACCCACCCACCCCTACCCCACAGGTATGAGGCAAAAGAATATTATGAGGCACTTCCAGAGCTGAAGCTGGTCATCGATCAAATTGACAATGGCTTTTTTTCTCCCAAGCAGCCTGACCTCTTCAAAGATATCATCAACATGCTATTTTATCATGACAGGTGAGTTCCCATAAGAAGATGGTGCTATTTGGATCATGAAAGGGGGACAAGAAAATCTTAAACCAACCAACTCTAAAACCAACAAGAAAATCTTAAACCAATCTTAAACCAACTTAAACCCACTCATGTAGATTAGCATAGATTAGCATGATCTGCTCAGGTAATCTAGGCTTGGGAAAAAAGTTAGATATTCCCCACCAACGATGCCAGTAAGGTTTAAGAATAACACACACAAATCCGGTTCTGTTTTTCTCCTTCCACTGATATTCCCAACTTGCAAATGCATCCAAGTGATGACATTCTCACATGTGAGAAGAACCATAAGAAGGTTGAGGGCTGGTTAAAATTCTTACAAACAGAAATATGAATTTGGTAAACCAGCCATGGCTGACATCAAGCAAAAGATGATTTTACATGGAATCTTAGCGAATATCTGTTAATGAAGCTTTTGACTGTTTTTTTTTTTCCCTTCCAATCACAATATAAAAGGTTTAAAGTCTTTGCAGACTATGAAGCCTATGTCAAGTGTCAAGATAAAGTGAGTCAGCTGTACATGGTGAGTAAATTGCCAAGATTTATTAAAAAACCAATTTACTATGATTCATTAAAATGTGTGTTTTTAAATTAAATCTAAATAGCAGGTCCCCATTAAGCAATCAAACAACAACAACAATAAAATAAAATATAATAAAACAACAACAACAACAACAAACCTTGACTTTTCCCAAGTTCAGGCCAAGGTTAAGATTTGACATTTCAGCAGCAGTTGTAATTTTTTTTTTTTTTTTTTTTTTGAGACAGATCTCGCTCTGTCACCCAGACGGGAGTGCAGTGGCGTGATCTTGACTCACTGCAACCTTCACCTCTCAGCCTCCCAAGTAGCTGGGATTACAGGCACATGCCACCACACTCAGCTAGTTTTTGTATTTTTAGTGGAGATGGGGTTTCACCTTGTTGGCTGGGCTGGTCTAGAACTCCTGACCTCAGGTGATTCACCCATCTCTGCCTCCCAAAGTGCTGGGATTACAGGCGTGAGCCACCATGCCCAGCCAGTTGTAAATTTTTTAATATCCAAGTTTTTTAAAAGTCACAAATAATTCAATACTTATTGAGCACCCACTCTGTAGCAGGCATGTCCTGGAAGCTAAGGAAATCAGTCCTCAGAGGGGCATTAGGCGTCTTTGTTATGCCAGGCACCGTGCTGGCACTGAGAACATAGCATGAGCAAAGTCGAGGTCTCTCCCTCCCTCCCCTCACTCAAGGAGCCTGTTTGAACATCGAGGTTCTTAACCAGAGGTACACATCAGAATCACCAAGGTAGCTTCATCATAATACAGATGCCAGCCCCCACACTGAGAGATTCTTTCCCAGTAGTGGGTGGGGTCACCATCCATATTTGAAAAACCTGCCATGATGATTCTAAGGCTAAACCATGGTTTATTAAGGTAAGGACTGACCCCTATTCTTTGAAAGTTGTAAAATAAGTACCTCTTCTAGATTTCTCGTGGAGGGGGCTGCATCAACAAAATATAAATGAGTAGAAAGAGAAAGGGGTTCATATTTGAATTTTTAAAAAAAGAAAGGAGAAAAATAAGGAAGACAATACTATACTGAGGAAAGTAAAAAGGGATGGGTACAGCCATGTGAATAAGCCTCCACATGCAAAGTTATATGCTTTATCAAACACCTCTCTAGCTATGTTTTGTAAATACGTAAAAAGGTTGATCATCTCTGAGAGGAGAGACTTTTAGTGAATTTCAGATACCCCAGAGGAATGGATACAGGAGGGCGCTAGCTCTGTGCCAAGACTCCAGGGTGGGTTTCACTAACATTTCTTTCTATTCCTTTCCCAAGGCAGATAACAGGGTGGTTCCTACAGTCATCCTAAATGTCCCATTGGGGTTTTTAAAAGGATCATTCAAGGCCTGTGTTGCTTTACGGCCCTTATCTTCTAATAGACTAATGGCCAGTCCCCCAATGGCATATAGACCAGAATAAGTTCAAGTTAATGGCTATAAAAAAGCAGGGCAGTGCTAGAGCTAAACTCAGGGGTTCACTACCTGCCTCCCGTACATTGGAGAGAAAAGCCACATACAGACCCCAACAATGCAAAGACACAGGGAAGAGAATGGCCACCTCAAAATACAGCAATAAAACAGCAGAGGAAAGAAAAATGTGAACAAGGGCAAGGACAAATGTGAATGTCTCCTCTGTTAAAATTATGGCCCAAATCCAAAGGATGCTCATCTAGAAGCCCAGCATTTGATTCAGTCTTTCTTGTTCATTAGTGCAAATTGCAGCTTTTTACTCTTAACAATTATTGTATTGTTGAGACTTAGTAAACATGACCCGTATGGCTGGGAAGTCTATTCATTATCCATTTAAATAGTTAAAGAAAATGAAGAGAGAAAGCTTTTATCCTCCTCTTATTATAGGAAGTTTCCAAACTCTGAATAAACAAATCTCAGATGCTGTTTTGCTATACCTTAAGGAATGATGGTAGTTTTAGTATTTCTCATAAGCATCTATAATGCATTGATAACAATTTTGAATAATGTTCTGTTCACTTCCAATACACTTTTAGAGTTCTTTACAAAATTAAGAGGCTATAAAATAAATTCCTTCTTATAATATTCTTTTATATAAAATTTATGAGATGTTGATTTATTTTTATAAGGATAAAGCCTCAATTGACCCTGTTTTGAAGCCCCAGTGGAGTGTTTGGGACTCATTGTAAGCCTACTAGGGTGCATACCTTCCGAAAGAACAAGAAAAGCTAAGTAGGTCAATGAAGCCTCTCATTGAATTGTTTGCCTGCATTGTAGCTAACATTTTAGAGTAGTGTTTTTCAAACTCTGTGAGCCACAGAGTAAGTCTCTTGACATGGCATTTAGCAAACAATGAATTCTTTCCCTATAGTTTGAAGGGAAGTATCTTCATTCATAAGAAAGCATGGGGAATACGGCTTACATGCCAAAACATTGTAACCATAGCAGGAATTGCCAACTAGGCAATGTACATCCACGGTTTCTCTTAGAGTGAAAAATACTTTTTTTTCACTCCTAAGAGAAAAATACTCTAAATATGAGAAAAGTGCATTCTATTCTACCTCTCAACAAACAAGAATATTTATAATTTACTATAATTTATTCCTGTCATTTTTCCTCATGAAATGTGTTTAGATGTGCTTGGCTGATGTTTGTTATAAAGCTCGCTTGGCACTGGGACTCTGAGCTGTACATGCATATGTTGTTTACAGAATCCGAAGGCCTGGAACACGATGGTACTCAAAAATATAGCTGCCTCTGGGAAATTCTCCAGTGATCGAACAATTAAAGAATATGCCCAGAACATCTGGAACGTGGAACCTTCAGATCTAAAGATTTCTCTATCCAATGAATCTAACAAAGTCAATGGAAATTGAATTCTAAAATGTCTCTAGAAAACATAGCTTCTTACTGAACTTGAACATTTTTACAACATTCACTGGTTTTTGTTTTGTTAGTTAATAATCTATAATAGTTGAGTATCTCTGGGAATGGGGAGGGAAATTATATGTAATAGAGCTTAAAAATAAAGTATCAATTTCCAAGGGCTACATGAGTGCCAAAACTTATTTTATAGCAAATCTAGTGATGCTTTGCTACTGCTAGGATTTACCCCAAAACTAGCCATAAAATTATTAAACTCCTTAGAACTTTCAAATGCCATTTAAATGAACTAAACTAAAATACAAAAAACATAACTACATAGAAGTAACTTTCTTACACTGCTATCTGAGTCCAAACCAAAGACCAATGTCTTAGTCCCTGTGGGCTGCTACAACAAAATGGCATAAACTGGGTAGCTTATAAACAATAGAAATTTATTTCTCACAGTTCTGGGGGCTGGAAAATCCAAGAGCAAGGCACTGGCCAATTCAGTGTCTGATGAGGGCTACTTTGTGGTTCACAGATGAAGCCTTCTCACTGTATCTTCAAACAGTAGGAGGCGTGAAGAGCTCTTTTGGTCATAATTTGTAAGGGCACTAATCTCATTCATGAGAGCTCAGTCCCACCTCCTATTAACCATCACATTGGTGATTAGGTTTTAACATAATTTGGGGGGCAAGCCCAGACATTCGGACCATAGCAACTACCTTATTCACAAATATCCATAGGATGTTTGATAACTACATATTTTTAGATAGGATCTAGATTGTACCAAATTTTGGTTCTCCACAGTGAGATTTCAGCATGTTTTACAAAGTAGATTATGATAAACAAGAACATTCCATACTGCCTAACATTCGTGATTTCTGTTGTTAAAATGGCAAGTGATTTGTAGAGAAGTCAATGGCTTCAGCTCATCCGACCAGCCCAGTACAATTTTACTTAAAACAATACACATCACAGGTAGTGTTTGGACCAAGTCTTCATTGAAGATTTCCACTCCTCCCAGACTCATGACCACTGCTTGCTCAGGAAATCTCTGTAGAAAAAGGACCCAGATCAGCTCACACACTTTCCCTACCTAAATAAGCAAAATATTATACATTTTCGTGTTGTGGCCTAAGTAAGCTAGAGCAGCCCTAATTGCCTTGAAGGGCAACATACTCACATTTAGCAAAGCAACTCTTACCTCACGGTTATTAACAGTGTGGGGCTTTTACAAAGCAGGTTGTGTTGGAAGCCAGGAGGAAAGATAACCATCTTGACCCTCTCTTTGTTCCTGTATGCATTGTGTGCAATTTCATAGAGCTGCCAGGGACAGAAAGACAGAGACTCAAAAGCTTGCCATTCAAAGCTGTAGATTTTCTAGTCCAATTTTCCTAAAAGTATACAGAAACAGCCAACTTGGGGAGTTTGTTCCATTAAGTCAGAGACGCAAGAACTCTCCGTATCCCCAATTGGCTGTCTCTACAGCTAAAGATCTGAATGCTGCTCAGCTAATATAGACTACTGATAAAACCTCATCCTTCCCTGCTTGAATCCCACTGCAAAATGACAAGCAATTCCTATGGACCCACTCTAGTAGAAGTTTGTTTAAAAGGAAAAAGTCTGCATCTTCTATTTTAGAGCCATTGCAATAGACAACACGGAGGTTCCCATAGCAGCCTGGGATACCCTACACCTGCAGCTCCACACAACCCAGATGAGGAGCCAGGCTCTGCCACAAACACTCCTTCGAGTTAAGGAGCCAAGGACACTGATGCCCATTGTATAAACCTATGGAGGCTATTTAGTGGGGTAGAGAATCTCCTGTAATGTCAGAGACTCTCCTTTCAGCTCTAATCAAAATTTGGCTGAATGAAAAAAATGACGAAATAAGTATAGTATATTTCAGTCAGCATTGAGCTCTTAGTTTACCTTTTTCCCATATTCCAAAGGCACTGTCCTGTCATCCTCTCCATGTAAGATGAGAAGAGGAGAAGAAAGGAATTTAACACTAGGGACAAGTAGAAGAAAAGCATTCAGTTAAAGAATTATACATCGAGATTTCTCCTCTTCTAAGTTAAAGCTTTAGCAAAACACAAGGTCTGTCTAAATTACAAGAAATATCTTTCCTTCCTTCCAAAGAATAACAATATCATACATTTAAAATTTCACATAGTAGCTTTTTTTCTCCATGTAAGTTTCCCTCGCTCCCATTTACTCATGCAATTTAATTGGCTGTTTAATTAATTTACTTCTGCATGATTTTTTGAAATACTAAAAAAAAAAAACACTGAAAGATTGATTTTGTACAGTGTAAGAAGAACCTTATATTCTTCTTTACTCCACCTTATTTTGTAACATCTGAAATATTTTATTAAAAGACTAAAAAAGAAAACGAAACTCAAAACCTCAATAAAACAAAAATTATGACAGATTCAGAGACCTCTTTGTAGCAACTTGTTTACTTTTCTCCATAAATGTAGAGGATGGACACGCAGTTAACAGGTCTGATTAGCTTCCTGGTCAACCCCCTAGTTTGCTAATTCAAAAGGGCTATGGCATGAAGAATGTCTTGTCTCCCGCTCCACTTACTTTCTCAAACAATGCTTCCCTATCCCCCCAAAATCCTGATACCCATCCATCTCTGCCACAGTGACTCACTGACAGCCCTGAGAATGTTGGATTTTCTCAAGTATGTTGACATAGAAAAAAGTATTGACAACAACTGTCTATTTGGAACCTTTCTTAAATTCTCTAACTGTGACAGGCTAACTTGATAAATTCTAGTCACTGGATTTGCTGTCACGTTAGTAAGGTAGATGGTAGATGAGTTTTCGTTATATGGGGAAAAGGGCCTAGAAGTCAGAGATGCCTCAAGAAATGTTAGGCTAGATCCTAGAGGACCTTTAAAAGGTTTTGTTTGGTTTTGTTTTGTTTCATTTTGTTTTGTTTGGGGGGGAGTTGTATGTTGGTTTGTTTACAGGATGTCACTGTGTCACACAGGCTGGAGTGCAGTGGCACAACACAGCTGACTGCAACCTCAACCTCCCAGGTTCAAGTGATCCTTCTGCTTCAGCCCCACATGTAGTTGGGATGACAGGCATGTGCCCCCACAACTGGCTAATTTTTAACTTTTTGGTAGAGATGGTGTCTCCCTATGTTGCCCAGGCTGGTTTCAAACTTCTGGGCTCAAGCTATCCTCTCACCTCAGCCTCCCAGAGTGCTGGAATTAAAGGCATACGCTAATACTCTCAGCCCTTTAAAAGGTCTTGATAGGCCATAGATATACAACTTCCTGTATGAATTCAGAGATAGTACTGAATTGGTGAAATCATTGAACTAGACATGAGGAAAATAGCAAATACTAAAAATTCATAGATACTTTACCCAAATCTTAGTGCCCATCTAAGAAGCACAGAATAACATTCTAAGAATGATATTCAGGATGTCTCATGTCACCATCCAGTAAGTCACATGATAGCTTCCCCTAGAATCCTTTAGATACAGTAATAATGCACATCTTTTCATCATTAACTTACTTTTCATCGTTAGGAAAGACTATTTTGTCTTTTCTCATGGCATCCATAAATGTACGTAAAAATCCTGGAACGTTCCGGTAAATCTATTTTTAAAAAAGAAAAAAAAATAATATTTGCCCCATAGCTATGCCATTTGTTATATAGTCTTTCGCTATGAACCAGGGTAACACAGAGAGTAGTGACTCTCTAAATATGATAAACTTAACAAAAAAATTCTACTATTCAAAAAGTAATGCACGTCGGGAATTTGGAAAAAAAGAAAGGAACGTAGAAGAAACACATAATCCTGCCATCATAGATCATCACCGTCAACATTTTGTTTTCACTTCCTACAAATGGCATCACTAACTCTTACTTTTCTATATAGAAGCAGTGGTATGCAAAACCTAAAAATTGCTTCTACTGTGAACGTAACTGGTTTAGTTGGTGGACAGAATATTCTGATTAGTCAAAAATTCTGATGAAAATACACAATACATGGCAAATTGATTTGAGAGAATTTGAACATTATAAACTTTTAAATATGATTTAATTTGCCAATGCCTTAAAAGACATTCTAGGTTTTAACAATGACTGCAGGATTCCAGATACAACAACGCTTATTCTGGACATACTAAATTTGTTGTTTAATAGCAAAATCCAAGAACTAGAATGCTAGCTAAAACCACTTTCACAATGTTTTGACTCACATAGTCAACATGTAAGTTAGTTTATATGCCCCAGAAACATCCATTTCATCTGGAAATAAGGAGTAAAGGATAGAAACCCTGAGCAATATTGCACCTTTCTCACAAACTTTGAATCCTGCCTCCAAAACTGTATCCCAAACCCATTCATTTCTCCCCATCCCCACTATCACTTAGCCTAAGCCACCCTTCATCTTTTGCTTATACTAAGCTGCAATCACCCTACCACAATCCAGTTCCCACAGGAAAACTAGAATGACTATTTTAACGTGCAAATCAGATTATAGTCCTCTTTTGCTTAACACCCTCCAAAGGCAATTGGATTAAACCTGAACATATCACCTTGGCCTCCAAAGCCTTGCAGAATCCGGCAGCTGCCTGCCTCCCTCTCCAGCCTCATCTCCTATCACCAAGGCCCTTCCTGTCCACCTCCTGGCTTCTGCTTCTGGAACATGTCAGGCCTGATCCCACCTCAAGGCCCTTGTCTTTACTTTTACCCCAGCCTGAGATCTCTAGATTTTCCTATCAGCTGGCTTCATCTCAGGCAGGTCTCAGCTCAGATGCTATTTCTTTAGAGCTGTTTTCCATAACAGCTATCAAACCTTGCTCCCACCACCCAGTCATTCTCCATCACATTATTTTGATGCTGTCACAGCACTTCTCACTATTGGGTTTTTTTAAATGTATTTATCTTCTATCTATTTCTCCACCAACAATATGAACTTCATAGGCAAATGGACCACAACTCTCTTATTCCCTGTGGTATCCTCAGAAACTAGAAAAGTTCCTGGTACATAATAGATACTTGATAAATATTTGCTAAAGACAAAATGAGTCTATTATGCAAATATCCCTGGTGTACACTTTGTTATTATCTGTCATTTTCATGTTAGAATGACTGAACTTCAGGTATTATTTATTTTATTTATTTGTTTCTTTATTTTGAGACAGGGTCTCACTCTGCTGCCTAGACTGGAGTGGGTGCAGTGGCACAATCATGGCTCACTGCAGCCCTTGAACTCCTAGGTTCAAGCAATCCTCCCACCTCAGCCTCCATAGTAGCTGGGACTACAGGGATGTGCCACCACACCTGACTAATTTTTTGTAGAGAAGGGGTTTTGCCATGTTGCCTAGACTAATCTTGAACTCCTGGGCTCAAAACCATCTTCTGGTCTTGACCATCCAAAGTGCTGGGATTACAGACATGAGCCACCATGCCTGTCCCAGATTTTAAATCTTTTTTTTTTTTTTTTTCAGATAGAGTCTCACTCTGTTGCCAATGCTGGAGTGCAGTGGCGCAATCTTGGCTCCCTGCAACCTCTGCCTCCTGGGTTCAAGCAATTCTCCTGCCTCAGCCACCCAAGTAGCTGGGACTACAGGTATGCACCACCATGCCCAGGTAATTTTTATATTTTTAGTAGAGACGGTGTTTCGCCATATTGGCTAGGCTGGTCTCAAACTCCTGACCTCAAATGATCCGCCTGCCTCGGCCTCCCAAAGTGCTGGGATTACATTTGCAATAAATTTGCAAAGGGGAAAAATAAGCAAAGTATTATACATTTTCATGTTGTGCCTGAGAGAGGAGGGGTAGAGTGGGTAGTAAATGGGACATGGCCAAGGGAAGGAAATACACACAGAATAGGGAGGTTGAACCCAATAAATACAAACTTCTGCTTCACAATTTTTTAAAAAGAAAAAGAAATTAAAACTTGCCCCATGGCTATAATGTCATTTGTTAATAGTCTCCTACTATGAACTGTAATAATTGAATAGAGACTTTCTAAATAGAATAAACTTAAATACAATTTTTCTGATTTTAGGAAGTAATTCATGTCATTTTAGGGACTGTGGTAAGGAAATGGGTATAAAATAGGTGAGCCAGTACCACTAAACACAAATTTCTGCTTCATAGTTTTGACTTAGGCCTGCTATTCCCCAGAAATCTCCTTGGTGTTTTGTATAGTTTTGTTTTGTTCTTTTGAGACGGAGTTTCGCTCTTGTTGCCCAGGCCAGAGTGCAATGGCACGATCTTGGCTTACCACAACCTTCACCTCCTGGGTTCAAGTGACTCTCCTGCCTCAGTCTCCCAAGTAGCTGGGATTACAGGCACCTGCCACCACGCCCAGCTAATTTTTGTATTTTTAGTACAGACAGGGTCTCACCATGTTGGCCAGGCTGGTCTTGAACTCCAGACCTCAGGTGATCCATCCGCCTCGGCCTCCCAAAGTGCTGGGATTACAGGCATGAGCCACCGCGCCCGGCCGGAATCTCCTTGGTTCTGTGGGATTTGTCTGGCCTGAACTTTCTGGCCTGGTCTCACAGCAACTGAACTGCATTCAGGTGTGCTCTGGACTTCCTGACACTGCCTTTCCTTCTCTTTCTTCTCCCTCCTCTTCCATGCCAAGGGCAAGATTTCTTGTTTTGTTTTCTCTTTTGTCTTCTGGTACTCTCACCCCCTGAACTAAGAATCCCCTGAGGATAATTCAATAAGAGAAGTCCTTCAGCAATTCATCTTAAATTCTGAAAGAGTAGGAAGAAAGCAAACCCAGGTCAATCTACTCTCATTATTCCTCATTCCCTCCCACCCTGGAGTGCCCTTTGAGACTCACAGGTCATACCTTCCCCTCCAGCCTAGACCATGGCAATGGGCTCTCCTAATTGGTCTTCCTACCTTCCTCTCTCTTCTGTAATACCACCAGATAAACATCCTTAAATTACCAGTTATATTAAATCTTCTGTTACAAAGCTTTGGGCATGTCACACTATCTACTGAAAACAACAACTCCCAGCTAACCTGCAACCCCATCCACATCTGGTCACAGTCTTTCATTCCAAACCCTGCTCACTTCCAGTCTATCTGCTTGTAATTAGAAGATGTAGGTTTGAGTCTCATTTCTTCTTCTTATAAGATGTGACAATTAGGCAAGCCTCTAAGTCTCCATTTGTCTCATCTCTAAGTGGAAGCAGTGATGACAAACTCACAGAGTTGCCGTGAGGATTTAAAAGAATAACGAGTGTGAAAGGCTTGTGTGGAAGCCCTCTATTAACTCTCAGGCTATTTACGACATAGAACTGCCCCATTCCTGCCAAGGGTCTGCGTTCACATGCACCTGCTCCTTGCGCTGTTTCCTAACTGCTTTCCCTCACCTTCAAGAAAGCAGCTTAGGTCCAATACGCTGTGAAGTCTTCACTGGCCACACCTGTGAGCAAAGCCTCTCTCTTCTGTAATTCTCCCTATCTTCAATTCTCCCTGCCTTTTCCTGCCATACATAACACCTTAGCCTAATTTGTAACAGAAAGGGGACAGAAAGGAACAAGTATTTGTCTAGTGCTTACTAGCAGCTGGGAACTTCACATACATTATCTTCCTTAATTCAATCTTCACAATGACCCTGTGCAGTAGGCGTCGTCAACCCCTTAGTAAAAAAATAGGAAAACATAGAGAGGGAGAAACAACTTACCTAGGTTATAAAGGGTATGTGGCCAAGGACAGATTTGAACCCAAGTCTGAGTGGCTCCACAGCCCACGCTCTTTTCCACAACATCATGCTGCCTTTCGATTCTGAGTAACAAAACTGATTCCAAAGAGACCCATAGAAATCCCTGCTGTTACTTTATACCTCCTATTTGTGTCCTGTCTCCCCAACTAAACAGAAAGCCTCTTGAGGTTGAGAACACATGCCTTTTACTACATCTGTATGTCTCACTCCATTTACACCTTCTTATTCACTAATGATCAGTTACGGCATTCTACTGAGCATTAAAAAAAACAAAAAAAAAGCTGACATCCACTGAGGGCTCACTCTCTGCCAGGCACAACTGTAGATGTGTTTCATATATTAATTCACCTAATTATCACAGCAATCTTGAATAGACTATAATTACCCCATTTTACGGATGAGGTGGTCAAAGCATTAAAAGTAAGTTTACACAGCTATTAAACGACAATCCTGGAAATCAAACCTGGCAAGTCTGACACTACAGCCAACATTCTTTAAGACTGTGAAATACACAGGACTGTTATACTTCTAGACGTTAGAGTACCTATTAAACTTCTAGACCTTAGAGTACCTATTAAACTAAAGTTTATGACATTTTAAATTAAATCTCAAACTTGAAAGAATGGGGAAATTTACCTCTTCTAGTAATAGAAGAATTGTTACAGACTAAACCTTTCACTAAAGACAACTAGAATAATTGGACAAAGTATTTTTTTAAAACTCTTCTTGAAGGTGTCAGAGAGCTACCAAGGCAGTGAGATCTGGAGACATTTAGATCCTAGAGAGAAGGAGTGATCAGAGAAGTGAGCCTGACACCATATTTCTCTTTGAGACAGAGCTGCCAAGTCAAAGTAAAGCAAGAAACTAGAGGCAAAAGAACACAGAACAGATGATACA